AATAATTTCCCAAACTTTCAGATGTTTGGATACTCTGTCTTTATTAGTTTCATTGCAGGATAACCTTTACCATTCTCCCTAAAAGTGCTCTATGGCAGTCTTAAGTGAATTTAAAATAATTTTATTCTAAAAAAATTTTAAAGCACTATAGAACATAATTGGATGCAATCTGGAATACCATAGAAAGGAATTATTGTTCTAGGTGACAGTATTTTACACTTAGTTCTCAAAGAAGTCTTGGGGAAATGGTTCTCATAGAGAAGATGTTTGAGTTTTTGTTTAATGATGAAAAAGTTTTAGGTTAATGCTGATATTTCCATATAAGGCTCTATTCTAAGCCAAAGGTTTTGTGATACATTGTAAAACATGTTATAGAATACTTAAGGCAAGATTGCTTGCCTTAAATGTGTCTTGTTCTGTTTATACTGATAGAGTTTGCAAAGGGATTTAGGTTCATGGCAGGAAACAAGAAGTTCCCTTTCATGGAGGCAGCCCCAAAAGAGGAAAGAGAAAAATCACCAGGGAGGCAGTAACAATGAAACAGCATGTCAGTAAAAGCACCCACCTGGGACTCCCCAATATTGATCCTAATTCTGTCCTTCATTCAAAGTAATACAGAACATACTGATTACTTTTTCTGAGCAACAGACCTAGGATATATGAAAGGCTTCATGACTTGCCCTGAGTCACACAGACAGAAAGAACTAAGACTGAACCCAGGTCTTCCAGACTCTCCCACTCAAGCCACCTCTCTATCCACTTAATATCCATCATCATGTCTTTAACTAAAACTGTTTATATTTAAGTAAAACTGAAAATACAATATTTAGAATAATCCCTTCCTAGAATACTACTGACACTTTCATTTCCTTTTTTTTTGGGGGGGGGAGGCAACTGGGTCTGAGAAATAGTGTATTATTGAGTACCAAACAAAACAGTGCCCTGAGAATCAGGAGACCAAGGGTCTAGTCCTACATCTACCACTAACCGCCTTCTTTCTGTGTGATTCTGGACAAGTCGCTTCCCCTTTGGGCAAATTCAAGTTTTTGCCTCATAAAATGAAGCAGTTGGATCAGATGACCTCAAAGGTCCCTTTACCATTAAAATTCTAGGATGTTCAATATAACACTTTTACTATAAAAAGAACTCCAATCTCTATCATCAAGTGTTTTCTTAGCACAGAAAGTATTCAGATATGCCTACACACTAACAAAGGTTTGTTCTGATACAGGCATGGAGCAACTGGATCTCTATTTAAATTGAAATTCTCTGACCCCTTCAGACAAGGACTCCAGAATATTTACAATACTGCCTGATGGTTTGCTCTCTTCAGAAATAAGAAGTTTAAATATTTGCTTTCCAATAATGATCTAATCCAAACCATACACCTCTGCAACAAAGCCCCAGCATTCTTTGGGAATACGACCCTCAAAGAATAAGTTATTCAGACCTGAGTAGGTTCTACCTCCCCATAGTGGTCCAGCAGAAACTTAAGGTGGGAGGTCAGTCTTTATCTTCAGAGTGATCAATTTCAAATACAACCAGCAAACATGAACACTGAAGAATGAAAACAGTTTCTTCTTTAAGAAATACTTTGCCAGAGATAAGACCATTGCCTAGCATTGATGCCCATGCCACATATTCCTGTCAGATAACACAGAAACATTAGCATATAACATTTATTTGGGAGCATTCTTTTGTGTGATTATATGCCCATGTGTGCACATGCGCATGCGCGCACACACACACACACACACACACACACACACACACACAGAGTCTCAAAATTCTTATTGCAGTTTTAAGCTTTAATAGCTTAATTAATAGTTTGATTTGATAGTTCTGTAAGCTTATTAAAGTTTAAAGTTGCACTAAGACTTTTAGGATTCTATATAGATATAGGTATATATAATATATATTTCATTTGAGAGAGAGAGAGAGAGAGAGAGAAGGGTGGGCAGAGGCTCACAGGCATAAAGCTGGCAGGGATCTCATGGGTCATCTAATAAAATCTCATTTTATATATGAGGAGACTAAGGTAAAGAAGGTTAGAACTTGTTCAAGGTCACAAAAGTAGCATCAAAGATGGGATTTGAATCCAGATCCTCTGACTTCAGAGCCAGTGCTCTTCCCCTATATCACAAGGTATCTCTCAATTCATTCAAAAGGCATCATGGACTAGTAGATGGAATGGCAGCCCTAGAGTTGGAAAAAGGTGAATTCAAGTCCTCTAACACATACTGGGTACACGACCTTGGACAAATCACCAAACCTCTCAAGCAATTCTCTAAGACTGTAAATGGCAGATGGGGGCCTATCTACCTTAGTTCCTCATCAAACAGCTCCTATAAGCAGGGACCTCTACTGCCTCCTGCTGGGAGAGAGAGATAAACAGAATCAAGAAACAGCCCCTAGCCTGGAGTAGCTTATAGGTGGGTAGTGGTAGTGGTGGTGGTCTTCTTCATCATCATCATCACCATCATCATCGTTGCTGTTGTTATTTTGGAGAGGGAAGAAACAATTACACAAAGAAATTAAATGCAGAATCCACTAAGTGATACTTAAGCAGAAAAAAAAAATTCAGAAGATGGAGAAGAAACAACCAATTGAGAAAAAGTATAGTATAACAGAAAGAGATTTGAAGTCAGAGGACAGAGATTCAAATCCCAACTCAGACTGTTACTTCTTTAGGCAAATCACTCTGGGCCTCAATTCTCTCATCTATGAAATGAAGGGTTTCAACTAAATGACCACTAAAGTCCTTTCTAGCTCAAAATCCTATGATCCTATCAGGATCAGGGAAGGCTTCATGGAGGGACGGGGCTAAGCTATAGAAAGGTGGGGATGAAAGCACGAACAAAAGCCATGGGGCAAGCCTCCCCTATCCTTAAAAAACCCTCACTTGGCCTGCCATCCCATCCAATTATCATCATATATATTTCCCCTCACTGCCATAACCCCTCCAAAGTCTGTACTTTCTATGATATTTCTCTCACCTATCTGACTAGTTTTTTTTCCTATCTCTGTTCAACTAAATTCATCCAAGTTCAATTATCACCTATACACAAGATAAGTCCCAAAACTCTATATCCATCTCTAATATCCCTCTTCCTCTCCTTCTCCCTCTTTACAGGAATTTAGCAGTCACCTTAATTTTCATTAAATAAACTAGATTGTGTGGTCAGATAGAACATCCTGCTCCTTAGCCTCTCATGCTTTATTCATCCTGGAGATGGCTGGGCAATGATCACATTCACAATACATGAGACCACCCAGATCAGTAGTGATAGAACTACTCCCCAAATGGGGCTCAGACTGAGACAACAACTCACCACTCAACAATGCTGTGGAGCACTTAGAACTTGGTCAGGTATCAAAGACGTCAAGGATATCCACCAAATCCTGGGCCATCGCCAATTGTCTTGACTTTTGTCCTGCCATTGGACTTTGATGACTCAGGAAAGAGAGGGTGAGGCTGATGACTTTGTCCAGCTCTCCCGCACTTAAATCCAATCCACAAGTCAAGATATCACCAGTGATATCACTGGTCCTCTTTGAAAACAAAAGAACAACTCCTTTCTGCTGGGAGCTCGCGGCCTCCATACAAAGAGGAAGAAGAAAGAGATGACAAGGCTGCTACCCCCTCTACCCATCTAGAAAAACAGAAATGTTTTTTTCATTTGTCAAAAAGAAAGATTTCTAGAATAAGCAAAATTATTTTAGGAGGCCATTCAGCAGTACCAATAGGAACACAGAGCTGGGCCATCTCCAGTCGTCCTGATCTATGTCTGGCCACTGGATCCAGATGGCTCCAGAGAGGAAGTGAGGCTGGTGACTTTGCACAGACCTCCCTCACTTAAATCCAATTCATTTGCAAATCATGGCATCTTCCTGACTTCAAGATCCTCTTTGAGGATGAAGTACCAATCACACAACAATCAACACAGGATCACTTCCCCCAGTGGCTCAGAGCTAGACTAGTATCCCAAGAGCCTATGTCCCATGCACCCTCTGACCCTGTTACCCCTCTATTCAATAACTCCAGTGAGTCTCTATTACCTCAGGGATCAACTATAAAATCATGGTTTGCTTTTAAAACCCTTCACAACCTGGCCCCTTCCTACCTTTCCTGTCTTAATCCCCTTCATGTAGGCCAGAGATACTGTGTCCTTACACACCTCATCTTCCAACTCCATGACTTTTCAGAGAGCACCCCAGGAAGTCCTTCCTGGATGTCCTCAATTGCCAATACTCTCCCTCCTCACCTCTGGCACCTGGCTGCCCTTAAATCCCACCTTCTGCAAAAGGCCTCCTTTCCCCACCACTTCCTACCTCTGCTTTCCCTCTGAGACTACCTCCAGTTTACTACCTGGTTGGATGTTACCTTCTCCATTAGAATACGAGCTCTTGGATGAAAGAGACTTTGGTTTTTATGTTTCTTTGCATGTATAGTGCTTAGTAAATGTCTGTTGACTAAGAGCCAGCCCCAAAAACTTCTTCCACAAATATCCATTATCAGTAGTAACTCATTTCTATAGTGATTTGAGATTCACAAAGGGGGGCAGGATTCAGGAAGACCTGAGTTCAAATTCAGCCTCAGACACTTGACGCTCACGAGCTGTGTGACTCTGGGCAAGTCACTTAACCTCACTGCCTGGTCAAAAAAAAAAATTCACAAAGGACTTTCCTCATAACAACTCCTCATTTTACAGAGAAGGTTAAATCAGATGCTCACAATCATTCACTTGACAAGGGGTGGAGCAAATATCTGAACTCAGGTCCCATAGCTCCAAGATACTAATTTTTTCCACCACATCCCAAAGCCTTGTCATCTCATTTGACCCTCACAGCAACCCTATGAGGCAGGCAGATAAGTAATGTGGCTAATTTGGCTTTTACATCCCAACACTACTACAGAGTCACATCCTGACACTATTTTTAGGTGGTCCTTAGGGACTTGGCCTGACCTAGGGAGAGTGTGATAAAGTCAAACAGGGAGGGATTACCATGTACCAGCTAGGACCCAGTGAGATTAGATAATATAAATTTGTAGCACAACCACCTGATACAACTGTGTGGCTTTCTCTAGCAACGGAATAGGAATAAAGAAGGTAGGTGATGGGGTAACCCCAAAATATAGTTTACCAAGGCATTACTAGATATAGGAAAAGAGGATAAGGGACTAAAGCTAGAAGCATATAGTTATAGTTAGAGCATATAGTTAAATTGGTCAACCACAGATAGGACCAAGAAGGGAGAAAAGTGAGGTAAACCGGAGGAATAAGGAAGGGTGAAGGGCTTAGATGCCACAGTGATGATAAAAAAGAGGTTTAAGAACAGAGATAAAGTGAAAGATGAAAAGACAGCAAATTGTTATTACAAAAAGGAATTTCAGAATTGTGGATAATGAAAGTGGTACAGTTAACAGCAGATGGTGATAGTAAGAATATGACTATCTCTGTTGTTGCTGAAGGTGATCTGAAGGTCCATGTCATGGAAACTAAAGAAGCTAGTAGATCCGGCTGCCTGAGGCACAACAACGTGAGTATTAACCTCCTTGAGTCTCAGGGCAGAGGTTAGAGTGCATGGGATGACTGTGAGCCAGGTACTAAACTCCTTGAGAAAAGAGAGAGAACATATAGGTCAGCAAATCACTGCCATGAGGATCTGCACTAGGGAACATGGACAGACAGAGAAAACCTCAGAGAAAGACAGTGTTTCAGGATGGCAGGAAAGGGGCTATCTGAAAGGGACAGTGCGGGTCAAAGGCTCAAAATGTCAGGGGAAATGAGAGAAGATGGGTATCCAGCGTTGGGAAGAATGATCACAAATGCACTGCTTTCTGGAGAGAATGAAGTTTCTATTAATATAAGAAAATGGAGAGTAAAAAGTAAAGTCATCCAAAATGAAGGAAAGTTTGTTAAAATTTGTTTTTGGTGGCTTTTTTTTTCTAGTAGTATAGGCTTTCTAGAGGGCAAAATGGAGAGGAAGAGTGGAGGCAGATTTCTACTGTGGAGCCATAGAGCTGAGATGGGTCCAGATGAGAGTCTGGGGAGGGATAGGAAATGGAAAGGATTTTCACCTTAGCAGATGCTGCCACTAATTCATGGGGACAGGTAAAGCAGGAGATGAAACTCTATTCATCAGCAAACAGCACTGGGAAAGACACAAGTGATTAAGGACTTCAATCCTCTTGGGTCCTATGATTGTCAAGCATGAATTCATTTCAAGGTGGCAGTGTCAGCTTCCCTGGTTTGTCACTCAAAACACAGGAGATGGGGAGGGATGGGGGAAGAGTAGAGGTGGCAGGTAGTTTTGTCCAGGCATCTGGGTTAATAAATAACTAATGTTCTGGTACCCCAGTGAAGCTGAACTCATACTTAATACCAGTCCTATAGCTCAGTGATATGGAACTCAAATAGAAAAGGATGTCTTGATGGCTCCATACTGACTTAGAAAACTACAAATTGACATTATCTATGTTGTACTGTATTTTTCTTTATTTTTGTTAAACATTTTCTAATTACAATCTAGTTCCTTGCTTCACTAAGGAGTTTTGCAGCCTGAGTTTAATAGCTCTGCTGTAGTTTCAGCTCAAATGGTGGGGCTATATGAAAATAATTGAATATTTGCAAACCTCAAAACACCGTATCAATCAGTTAACCAACAAGTATTTGGTAAATCTTATTATGTATCAGGCACTCTACTAAGTTCTAGAGATACAATCCTTAAGTTGTAAGCTCCTTGAGGGCAGAGACTACTTAGCACACTCAGCAATTAATTCTACTTAGTACAGTGCCTGGCACATAGTAGCAGCTTCACAAATGTTTATTGATCAACTCATACCGGGCCCCACAAATCCTTCTTCCAACAGACAACTAGTCACACTGCTGCTTTAAGAAAATTTATTACTTGCATAACCTTTGTATTTACTTATTTGTATATATGTTTTATTCCCCCCTCTCTACTTCCCAATATGTAAGGAACTTGAGAGAAGAGAATTTCATTTTTTTTCTTTATATCCTCACTGTCTAGCTCAAAGCCTAGTAAGTAGCAGATGCTTAACAACTGCTTACTGGTTTGGTTTGAACCTAGCTAATAAAGAGGTAGAAGAAAGTTTCACTGTCCTCCCATGCCTCAGGGTTGACTTGTAATATTCAGCACAGTATGCAATTGAATTGGAAGCTGCCCTTGGGGGGAAAAAAACTCTCTAGATCCAGTTCCACATACTGTGTGGCATAGGCAGAGCAGCCAAATTCCCCAAGCATTTAGAGCTGGAAGGCAAATTAGAGATCATCCAGTCCCTTCTCTTTATTGTGCACATGGGGGAAAGTGAGGCCTAAAGATGGGAACAACCAAGGGGAGAAAGAAATAAGAGTTACAGGATTTAAGGTCAGGTCTCCAAAGTTCAAATTCAACATTTCCCAATATACCTTGCTGCCTCTGGACACCCGACTATTTTCTTTAATGGCATCTTCCATTAGATTAGGAAAGAGGTTGAATGGAGCTCTCTGGCTCCCCTTGGGGGGACAGTATAATTGAAGGAGGCTCTGAGGAATAAGAATTTGCCAGACAGACACCCACACCTACAGCTCTTCTGCAAGGGCTCCTGATGGGAGAAGCACCCCTGAATAAGAACTTCGGACTCGAATCACAGAACTCACTCCTGCCGGGTGGGGGAGGGGTGAAGATGGGGATTGGAGGTGGAACAGGGGAGAATGTCAGTGTTTCCTCGGAGGGGAAAGTTTTCTCCTCTTCCAGTCTATGTGAAAAGTTGCTTTTTTACAAGGTATTCCCATTCAAGTCTCCCGCAAAAACCAGCCCCCAAGATTGTTTCAAAACGGTTTTAGTCGGGACTCAACTCAGGGGCCTGTGTGGGTTCCCAATTACTCCAGTTACAAAGAGTAACACCGTAAAAAGCTTAAGGCTGCTTTGGCATTAACGCTTCCACTCCCAAGGAGCCTCATTTCCAAGGTGGGGGGGGATCGGGGGTGGGGGACTCCGACGGGGTGAGGAGGAATAGCTCATACCCACAGCCCACGTTCCCTGCATAGAAACCGAGACAGAGACCGAGACCCGGGCACAGTCGGGATGACCTCCGGTGGGCCCTTCTTTAACAAACCGGATGAATAGGATTGCTTGCTGTCTAGCAAAAGGCACTCGATCCAACCGGGCAAAGTGGAAGGAGGAGCCTGTGGACCTCAGTTTCCATTTTTGTAAAAGGAAGAAGTTGTCCTAGATGATCCCGGAGGGCCCTTGCAACTCTAAATCTATTATCCGGCAGCAGCACACACCGCCCCCCTTCCCTAGCCCCCTCTGCTCCAGGGGCGGGTCCACAACTCAGCTTCCTTCCCTCCCTGCCCCCCCCTCCCCGCCCCCTCCTCTCTCCTCCCCTCTCCCAACTCACCCTCCGCCTCCATGGCGCCCCCCGCTCTTCTATTCATGCCAGGAGCAGGGAACGAGAAGGGGAAGGGGGAATCCGAGTCCAGGTTGGGGTCCCCGAGCCCTGGCGCCCTAGGGGCCACCTCAAGAGAAGCAGCCAGAGCAGCGCGGGACCGGACCGCATCTCGCCAGCAGCGCGGGCAGGCGGGCGGGCGGGCAGCCTCGCTGACTCCCGGGCTCCCTCCCGCCGCCGCCACCGCCAGCCCCCAAACTCGGCCCCGCCAGGCTGGGGGCGGGAGGGAGGGCTAGGCGCGCGCCACCCAGGGCTCCCAAGGGGGCTCAATCCCCGCCCGCCAGCCCGGAGTCCGGCCCCCGCCGTCAGACCACCCCCTCCTCCTCGGCCGCCCGAGCGGCCGGCTCCGCCCCTGCTGCCGCCCCTGCCCCCGCCCCCACACTGGCCTCGGGGCCTCGGCGGGTCCCGGCCCCGACTGCAGCCCAGAAGGTCATCGAGGCGAAAGAGGCTGCGGGAACTGCTCGGGCTGCTGAACTCCAGACCCTGAGCAGCTAACTTCTCCAAGGACACTCCCCTCCATCTGCCCTTTCCTCTGCAGCGCTCCTCTTTAGCCCTGGTGCCCCGCACCCCGGAGTTAAAGTCTCTGCTTTGTTTCTTCACTGTTCCCATCTTCATCCTAACAATTCTTAGGGCTTTACGGTTTACTTAAAAATCGGGTTTTGGTTTTGTTTTTTTTTTTCACAACAACCCCTAGAGACAAAGTAGTGGAAGTATCATTATCCCCATTTTACTGTGGAAACAGCCTCAGGCAGGTTAAGCAGCTTATCCAAGGTATATATTAGTAAGTGATGGAGCTAAGATTCTAATATAGGACTCCCGGCTCTAGTGCCCTCTCCATTGAATCAAAGTGTCTCTCACATGATCATGTACAGTTCTCCCAACTAGGGCCGTGAGCTCCAGATCCTGAGGAAGAAAGGAACGAAAGAAAGAAAGGAGAGGGGAGGGAGGAAGGGAGAGAAAGAAGAAAGAAGGAAGGAGGGAAGGAGAGAGGAAGCAAGGGAGGGAGAGAGGAAGGGAGGGGAGGAAGGAGGGAGGGATCATTTTAAGCCTCTTTTCTACTTGCTCCTGGACAAAAGTTCAAGGTTTGAACTTCAGTCCCTGCTATTTTCCCAGCTCATGTCTCTAGTGAACCAAGAGAAGAAGTAGATGTGGGTAAACTAACAAACTGGACAATTACTTCATGAATAATCTTTTGAGATGCAAATGAACACAAACCAATTAAAACCAGAGGCTGGGCCTACAGAACATTGAGTAAATTATACTTGTCCTTGGCATAAGAGCTCCTCTAATAGTAAATTGGTTCATTCACTGTAAAATCTGGCAGGTGTATATAGACTCATAGACTATCCAGTCCAAAAAGGACCTTGGAAAACGGAGCAAATGGAGCAAAGAAGGCCAGAGATATAAAGGCCTTAGAACATAGAACTTCAGAACAAGTGGAAGTGACATGGTATTTTTGAAAAAGTACTGAACCTGGAGCCACATGACTGATTCAAATCCTGATTCTTCTACTTAATACTTATGGACCATCACTCACCTAAACCTTCGTGGACATCAGTTTTCTCATCTGCAAAATAAGGGGGTTGGACTAGATGAATTCTAAAGTCCCTTCTAACTCTAGCTTTATGATATTATCATCCTGTAACAGGGAAGAAAATAGATGGACTAGAGCGGGAAAAAAACTTGGACATCATCTAGTCCAACTCTCATTTTACACATAAGGAAATTGAGGCCTAAATGTGCTTCCACTCTCTCTTCATCCTCCCTAGCTGACAGATACTTTGCAGTACTGGGCTACAGCATCATTGACCAGAGTCCACCACAGATATTTAGCCTCCAAGCCACAGATGATGCTACAGGAGATAATAATAATAATATTGGAAACTCTGAGGCTTGCAATAGCCTTTTTTAAAGCTAGCACCCCAGTGTTTTAAAATATTAGCCCTCTTGCTCTAATATGACTCCGAGGAGTAGATGGCTTAAGTTGTGGCTCAACATGAATGTTTATGGGTGAAATTGAGGGGGCAGACAAAGCTAGAGAAAGCTTTTGACCCCACTAAGTTCTGCACCCTGATCTGGAAAGTCT